TAATATCAATACCAATAAACTAAAGCATCCTACATCTCACGATGTCTACCCTTAAAAACATNCACCAGACGTCAGTAATTAATGCTAGTGTTAGAAATGGTATCACCAGACGTCAGTAATTAATGCTAGTGTTAGAAATGGTATCACCAGACGTCAGTAATTAATGCTAGTGTTAGAAATGGTATCACCAGACGTCAGTAATTAATGCTAGTGTTAGAAATGGTATCACCAGACGTCAGTAATTAATGCTAGTGTTAGAAATGGTATCACCAGACGTCAGTAATTAATGCTAGTGTTAGAAATGGTATCACCAGACGTCAGTAATTAATGCTAGTGTTAGAAATACATAGTTCATTTGTGTGTTGATAACTATATAAGGTCTGACGACTTTGAAGAGCAACGCGACTCATATAATTAACAGCAGAAGGATGCTAATAGCGCGTAAGTAAACCGGTCCAATCTCGCTCCTATTTTGCTGTTCTTAGACACGTGGATAAACGAATTTATAACGAAACACAACATGACTCATTATGCACTGAATTTTAAGTTTGCGACATCAATATATTGAAAACGCTTCTGATAGAACAGGACGTGGCTCATTACGCAGGTAAGTGTGCGGTAGGATAAGCCGCACAATTTACTGCGTGGATGCCAGATTCAACGTAAAATCGGTCATGAAATACGAATTTAATGAGTGCGCCAGTTAAAGTAACCGCAGGCGGCCACTGTCTCCAACCTGCTCCATATTAGTCCTCCTAACCAACGCAGAGCGATCCAACTTAGGTCCGGTACACCGGTTGCGTCCTGATCTCTTGTACCATGAAAGACGATTGATGACACGATAAATTCAGGGTTGCTTTGGATCCCGTAAGGAGAAAAAAAGGATATACTAAAGCCTGTGAGCGTTTTAACAGTCATCCATCCTATTTAGATACATTCCTCTGACGATATACCGCACCATGCCTTAAATTTCAATGCATTTAGGGGGCACAATAATAATTGAAGGGGTCACAACCAAAGGAATCTCTAGTAAAGTAGATATACAATAACTGTTAATCAATACATTATGCTAGTATAAAAATATACATTCCCATTATAAATTACATATCTTAGTCAAACAAACGATGCATTCGGACAATAATACATTCAAGACAAATACACAATTGCACCAAAATGACAACTGAGGTACACTAATAATTAAAGCAACTACAATAAAAGCAACACGTCTCGTTCATCAGATTTGAGCTCCCAAACACTCACCAGTAAAGAGAAACGCTCAGAAGCGATGTTATCGCGCAGCTTAGAAACGTCACTCTAACCCCCAAACCTGTTAAGGCCTTGCCCGTATAATTATATCCCGAATATGAACTAATTTCCACCTGATAACAGTAGTTTTAGTCAAATGAATGCAGAGTTCTGCCAGGCCATACTTTCAAAACTCGCTAAGTGATCGTAAGTACTTACGCTCTATTTTCTTGTCTATGATTGGTGGATTTTGCTTGAAAGGCCGTCAATAATTGGCTGATGAACTTACGATCTCTTAAATTTTTTTGAAAGTATTGGACCAGGTCTGATAACAGCACTTCAGCCTGATGACTGCATAGTTCAGATCTGGTAACAGTAGATTTAGTCTGATAACTGGGGAGGTAATTTATGTCTATAAACAATAGTTTTATTCTGATAACAATCGTTTTAACCTGGAATCGAAATTCTGACGAGCTTTCTGTATAATCTCTCCTCTTCATCGGGAAGAAATCACTTTTAACATTGCCAACTGAATAAAATTAACTTACTGCGCCTACTTACTTGAGCCTATACTTTCAAAATAAGTTAAGAGATCGTAAGTTCATCAGCCAATCATTGGCGGCCTTTCAAGCAAAATCCACCAATTATAGACAAGAAAATAGAGCGTAAGTACTTACGTTCACTTAGCGAGTTCTGAAAGTATGGCCCCTGGTTATTAGTGTTCCAGTCGGGTTGCTATGAAGTAAGCTGACGCAATCTATGAATTTATGAACTATGACGCAAACTATATGTATGAAGTATGTGATTCCACTATTAAGTATATTATTAATAAAATTTAATTAGTTCGTTTCTTTGTTTTAGACGCTACATTTTTAAGAAGTCGACAGTTTCCATGCATACTCCCGATATATTTTAGCTATATTCGACATTAATCACTGAACCTATCAACTAAAACAATTAACATCTGCGCACTATCTTGATGGCTGATAATGCGTTTCGGTACGTGAATAAAATTAAAAAAATTACCACGCGGCCTAAAATTAACAAATTACGTGTCATGAATTAAAGACGTCCTGCATAAAAAAATTAAAGTGTCTATTTCCTACTTGATAATGATGATGGTATAATTGCAAGTGTTAATTTCCTCACAAGAGAGCACAGCAGGTGGCGGTGGCACTCAGAGCTTGGCACTGCCACACTGCGGCATCGAGCTGCACTCACTGGCTTTCTTAAGAGAACATTGCCAATTGTTTCGCGAAACTTCACTGAAAGGCACAAAAATGCAAGAAAATATTGACCGCTCACGACTGTAGGGTCAGATTCTGAACGCCAACGATACGTGCGAGGCACAAGGAAAATTAGAAACGAAACCTTGCAAAACAATGAGGACATTTGCACAGTTTGTTCAACGAAAGATGCCACATGGATGAATGAAGCCACAATTGGAGAGAAGAGCCACATTTGGAGAGATCTTTTGTGGCTTCACAGAAGACGTTCCTCACACACAATTAAGATGCTGAAGGGAATCCTAGCAAGCTTCCTTCCATCACACAAAATGGCTCACATGTCTTAACCTTCTACCGCCTGCCGCGAGTAACCGGAGCAATATTGTCACAAGCCTACATCCCAAAAAGGATACGTTCTAGTCAGCGCAAAATGACTTGCACTGATGGTTGCCGCCACGTACGACAACTTTAAAATGTTCTTTGTTAAGTACAAACGTCCTGAGGTTGCGAAAGTTATATTTGAATTCACAATTTGTTTTAAGGATGTATGGTCTGTATCGTTACGTCTTTTGAAATAATTAAAGAAATTTTAGAAACTAAACGCTATACTTCAAAAATCATCAAGAACTATACGTAGCTGTAAACAATTATAAATGCAGGGCACGTTTCCAGCAGTGATTGCCCAAGAGTTGTAGTGCGTCATGCAAGATTGCACGGCACTTGGACGCTGAATAAGCGTCGCGCGCGAGGAGCCAGTGATATATGAGCAAATTTCTATCAGTTAAATCGGTAATAAAGAGGTCAAAATTTAAAAAATTATCATTCAAAGTGAATAAGAGATCAGCAATGCCCCCACAATAAAGATTTTTTTATGTAGTTACGATATGCGATATTGTAGTTACGGTATTGCATCAGGTGGCCCAAATGAGGGCAGATGAACGATAACCAGAGGCGGCGATCCATCGTGGCCTGGGACTGCTATGTCCCAAACAAATACTAAGGATACTAAGGATATTCCTGCCCGAGTTCTGAAATAATCGTAACAGGTGTCATCAAACATTCACTACGACGCAATGAGTTTAGTGGATGGAGACAAGCCCGTAATCATGTGCATCAATCATAAGAATGAATGTGACGTAATGACATGAGGAGGCGCAGGTGAACAACCCCCCTAATGCAGCGTGGGGATGGAAAGCTCGCATTAGCTACCAGTTTGGCTGCAGAGTGTGCCGGAGCCGTTCATGGCTGTGCTTATAGAGCCTAGACCGCACTTTTTCAGTACATTTATCCACAAAGAAAGAAAACAGTGTTTTATGCGTGGCTTTGTGATACATCGCGTGATTTACCAGTGACATCAAAACGAGTGTGTTCGATGAAAATCTGCGAAATTTTTAGAGCGAGATGGCAACTGGCAGCCGCTGCATCCAGGCGCTGAACTGTGCACTAAACAAAACTCAGGCTTCGAGGCGGAGCATAACAACCATTTACATACAATGAATTTGACGCAGTTTGTAATGAGTGAATAACAAGTCCATACAGTGCAGCACATCGGCAACGGGAGGTCGGAAGTCTAAGTATAATATTCACTTAAACCCGATGAAATTGGAGAAGTTAAATTTGCTTCCGCTTAACGATTAACATCCTGCGAGCAGCTATAAAAGAAGTCAAGAAGCTCTGCATGTCTAAGTTTTAGCTTGAAATTTAATGCACGACCAAATGCAATAAATTCAATGTTGTGTCGGGAGAACAAGAGCACTTGTACGCACAATTACAAATTACAGGAGAACGCGACTACTGTAATGAAGGGTATTTCGTTCAGCGATCAGCGTCACTCTGAACCGGCTTCTTATTTGTTTGATATGAAAATTGTGCATTACTTGCGTGAAATACATTACTTTAGATGCATTTAGTTGCAAGTCGTTCTGTTTCTTTTGTAATGGAGATGAGCAGTCTTTTTCAATTAATAATCTTCAGCCAATCGGCAAAATAAATCTTCAAAATAGTATTCAACCAAAATAATATTTTGCGATTATATTGTCGAAATGGGATCTATGGGTCGTGGAAATTGCAGGCATTTTTATCAGTGTCATAGTTGTTTGGACAAAAAGTCTGTAGTATGAACACTTGAATCATTTTTTAACAAAACTAAATTTTTAGTTCCGGGTACATTATATTTGCAACCCCAGATTACAAAAATAAAAGAGTACTTCATATATGAACAAAATTTGCAATGTCTGCCGTAAATTCCTCCTTCAATTTCAGCCGAGCTGTGCATATAAGACTATCAGAATACGTACAAACGATTATCGTTTATTACGGAGCATGCATGCCATTCGGGATGTTGATTATCCTAAGGCTAGGATAACATATTCTTAAGTCAAATATTACGCAGAGAGAAAGAACGTCTTCTTATAGTGACAGATTTTCATTAAAACCCACGCCTATTCCAGAGCGGGTGACCCGTTGAGCTGTGAATACGCATCAAGAGGTATAATAATTTGATTGTATTTCTATCTCAGAATCATAAATCCAAAAAATTTTATGGTTAATAATGTAAATGCAGTAAAATACTACCTTCAAATGACTGACATAATGTTTAGATCGTCAATGAATTACATCAGACGATGTGTTCCGGTGATAGGTTTGGTGATGGGAACGTTGATTGTGTACAGCATATTTTTCTATAACTCATACGCTCAAGGTAAGAGGCGCCCATAGTTAAGTGATAAAATATTGTGTAAAAACTAATCAAACCATTAAACGTTCACTAACCATTTTTAGTATTGAATCGCAATAATTTCACCGGAAATTTGTTTACGGCATTAAAAAATTTTTGTAATAATGATTAATTTGAATGAATCTATTTTCTAGCACGATCGTATTTCTCTACAGTTTCGAGAAACCTGGTTGGCTCTCCAAACCTCAGTCTCACGAACGTGACGCAGTACTTCCATCATCATCAGAATTTTTCACGGTTTGAGGATAAGCTTTTCAAACCAATCCTGAACGCTTTCAAACACCCCAACTTGCTCCACGATCGCAAGACGAAGTTCCGGTCTGACACGATACCAACGATTTTCTTGTTGTCAAATAAAAGTATCACCAACTCTTACTGGGTTGACTCCTTGAAACATTTCACAGAAAAACAGTGCCCATTTCAGTGCAATTTTACTGACAATGAGAAGGAAGTGAGCAAGGCCGATGCAGTACTAGTATATTTCAGTTACTTTGAAAGTCCTGACGCCCTTAAATCAAAATTGCCGAAAAGAGACCCAAGACAACCATGGATTGCATTCGCAGTTGAAACTCCTGATCACAAATTTTTTAAAACCCAACTTCCAATCTCATCATTCAACGGAATTTTTAACCGTACAATGACTTTCAGGCGTGATTCAGACATCATTTTCACTCATGGCTTCGTAGTGTCAAAAGAAGATGCAGCATTCCTACCACAACCCTGGGTGCGGCATCCACCACGTTTGAGGCAGCTACCGTTCTACAAGAGGAAGGTGGCAGTGGCCTTTATCTCGCATTGCGTTTCTCTTGGTAGACGAATGGACTACATCCGTGAACTTAGTGAATTCGTTCCAGTGGACATCTACGGCAAGTGTGGAAAATTATCCTGTGGAGCATCACGATACGTCGGTTCTTCGCCCGAAATTGAAGACGACACTTGTATTTTAGAGGCAGCAGAAAATTATCTCTTTTATCTCAGCTTCGAAAATAGCATTGCCGATGATTACGTCACTGAAAAACTCTATAATATATTGTTTTATCCTGTGGTACCGATTGTTTTTGGAGGAGTCAACTATTCAGATATTCTTCCTCCGAATTCTTTCATTCCAGCTCTGGAATACAAACCAGCCGATCTTGCAATTCTGATATTAAAGTTGTCTCACGACGAGACTCGCTACAACGCCATGCTGGAGTGGCGGAACCGCTATCAAGTGTCAAAAGTGGGGACAAGGAGAATCTATTGCGACCTCTGCACCAAACTTCGCACCACGAAGTTATACGAGGAGAAACTTTACGATGATTTCGAGGATTGGTTTGGCACACAGTCGCACTGCAGGAAGTATACAACGGACGGTGTGGTGCCTTCAACTTAGTACCGATTATTTGTCGGGGCACACTAAGTAAGAATAAAAATTATTTTAGATGCATCTCGCTTTAAAGAGGTGCAAAAATTTTAAACGTTATATAGTAACGGGAGCGCCAAACTTAGTACCGATTATTTGTCGGGGTACCTACACTAAGTAAGAATAGAAATTATTTTAGATGCATCTCGCTTTAAAGAGGTGCAAAAAATTTAAACGTTATAGGTAGTTACTGGAGCGTCCAGTAACTATAAACTTCCAACTAACCCCTAAGGGGCGATGAGAAAATTTGACAAACTTAGAACGAGTTCTCAAGAATTGTCACTTATGCTTTAATAAGAATTTTGTTCTTGCATGTGTAGCCCTTCAGCCAAACCTTAGGCCATGATACGATTTGCGCTTGTGCCATTTCACGAGCCTCTCAGTATATATAATATTGAATAATATTGAGTAATATTGAATACTATTGAATAATATTGAATAATATTGAATAATATTGAATAACATTGAATAATATTGAATATTATTGAATAATATTGAATACTGTTGAATATTATTGAATAATATTGAATACTATTGAATACTACTGAATAATATTGAATAATTTTGAATATTATTGAATAATATTGAATACTGTTGAATATTATTGAATAATATTGAACACTATTGAATACTACTGAATAATATTGAATAATTTTGAATATTATAGAATAATGTTGATTATTATTGAATAATATTATATTAATAAGGATAATATAATATATTATCCTCTAGCTCCTACGTATATCCTTGATTCGATCCAGACCCAGTGGATATATTTTACAGGTAAAATGCTTCATTCCCAAATTTCATTTTCAATTTGTGCAATGTGGAAATAAACTTTCAGTTCAGAGTGAAATATTTATTAATATAAAACTTCTGACTATATATAGCTTAACCCGTATATACGTATACACAATATATACATGTATCCTACGGGTTATTAGAAAACGTGTCCACCAAACAGTAGTATTTATATGTATTATTATGATATTATTTCTATGTTATCGCTTTTTTCGGTGCTGATATCCTAGGTGTTGCAAAACGAGTGTTGAACGAAATATATGCATTTTATTGAATTTAGCAACCAGGAATTTACTTATAAAAATATAACTCAGTACTCACTGCAGTGAGTGACAGAGAGCGCATTTTCTCNCTGAGCAGCATGCCGTGCGGCGCATACCTCAGCATGCTGAGCATGTAAAGGCTGAGCAGCATGCCGTGCGGCGCATACCTCAGCATGCTGAGCATGTAAAGGCTGAGCAGCATGCCGTGCGGTGCATACCTCAGCATGCTGAGCATGTAAAGGCTGAGCAGCATGCCGTGCGGTGCATACCTCAGCATGCTGAGCATGTACTGTCTCTTATACACATCTAGATGTGTATAAGAGACATAAACTATCCAGTTCCTACAAAAACCGTTCGCCGAGAGCTCAAAAACTCTGGATACCGCAGACAGGCTGTCATCAAGAAACATCTTCTCGAAACGTCCAATTAAAGGCAGAAGATGCGATGTCGAGACCACCAAACTTGGCCTTCAGTAGAGTGGAAGCTAGTAATATTGACAGAGAAGTCAATGAAATTTTGTTACTCCTGCGGTTAAAGGCGACCTAACATGCTGAAAATGTATAAATTAAGGAGCTTTCAACCTGTATATACCGTCTCTTCCTTATTATAGTCGAGGATCAGGTAGCCATATTTTATCGAGCTCCTTTGGCCCTATTATCATCTTGCGTTGTAAGATTTCAACATCGAAAGCCCGAATCTTCTTAGAGACCTTAATTATGCATACAACGTGCAAAACCCCAGTAGGCTGCTGCATCTTCTAAGACGATAATATTACGATCAACACAGTCCATAGCGATAGCTATTGATAAGAGAACTGGAACACATTCAACTAAGATTAAATACGCAAAATGGGACCGTAATCTCAAGATTTTAATACCTTTAATATATTGCGGTATCAAGTCGAGCGACAAGCCAAGAATCGCTACCATCCACCCTCTCGCCTCGAGCAGCTGGAGCAGGTTTCAATGGAGTTGTAGCTGAAAATTTCAGTGCAAGAAAGCTTTAGGATTCTATTGAAAGAATTTTTGAAGCCAAATGAGGTGCTCATCATAATAAATAAAATCTCTTCACATAAAACAAGGTTACAATTATTCCGTACAACAACTGAACTAAATGTGGCAGAACTGCAAACAATTAAACTGTCAAATACTCTGTGTCGCTTGCACATATATAAGCAATATACACTGTCCCGTAGCTAAGTCACTTAGCTGAAAAAGCGTTGTTTGGAGCACCGAGCTACGATGTGTTTTCCAATTTTGTGATAGCTTGAAAGATTGTAACAGGCCTATTTTAAGCGTATTATTGATCCCAAGCTCATGTTACTCGCTAGAGAAAATCAGGTTTCAAAGGTAGAGAACACTTTGAAGCTAGACACCATCACGGGGGCCAAAAACCATTTGAACAATAGAAAAATTGAAAAGCAGATCAATTGTTTTTTACATGAACTAAAGCGTACACTGAGATATTATTTTTCTGCCTCTAAATGTTGTATAATACATATATGAAAGGGCTAAACAAAGAAGATATTCAGACATTTGAAGAATTTCCAAAGAATGAGCCTCTTCAAGCATCAAAATGATTTTGAATGGCATATAATTATATATAATTAAGTTATTCTGGAACATTAAAATAATAGATTCATATTAAATGTATTTCTGCATTAAGAATGAGCCTCTTCAAGCATCAAAATGATTTTGCATGACATATAATTATATATAGTTAAGTTATTCTGGAACATTGAAATAATAAATTCATATTAAATGTATTTCTGCATTAAGAATGAGCCTCTCCAAGCATCAAAATGATTTTGCATGGCATATAATTATAGATAGTTAAGTTATACTGGAACATTAAAATAATAGATTCAATTTAATTGTATTTCTGCATTATCTTCTTGCAGTTAAGATTTATCAGTACACACGTGACGAACATACAACTTTAAATTCCCCGTAGCCAAACACGCGCGAAGTTTTTTCCTGAGGCGACATGGATGAAATTTTTGAGCTTCAACACAGCCATTAATTATTAGCGCATTTTCTCTTTTATGGAAAAAAATGCACTATATATTGTGCTCGCAATGTCCGTCTGTCCATCCGTCCGTCTGTCTGTCCGTCCGTGACTTCACGTTTTCGTCGACGAGAAAATGCGCTCTCTGCATGTCACTCACTGCAGTGAGTACTGAGTTATATTTTTTTACTTCTCCGCGTAATCGAAGTTCTCGTTCAGTAGCAACGTTTATTGAAAGTATACAGAGGTAAAGAAACAACATGTAATTTATTTGCTAATATATAAATGCCGACAGGTAAAATATTTAATTAATAATGGATGTTTCAACTAGCAGTGAGCTAACCATTACCTTGCTGGACGAAGAAAGGATTTTCCTTTGATTGAATTGTTAGCCTGAATTCTCAATGCGTCATAAAAATTACTCCACATGCGGACAAACGGACAAATTTATCGATTACGCTTAAAGTATTCGTTAATGAAGGTCCACTTACAAGAAGCGGACTCATCCTCCTACACAAAAACTGACACGTCGAACAACTTAAACGCAGTTTTTACCCTGATAATATTACCCTGAGTTTTTTTACCCTGAGAATATTACAGTGGATATACAGTACAGAATATTACCCTGAGAGTTTTTACCCTGAGAATATTACAGTGGATTACTCCATATATGAGCGGGTTAAGCCTATAGCAAAACATGGCCAATGTTATACGAAAAAATGTGTGTCTGCGCTTCAATATCAGCGCTTAGTAAAATCGACTTCGGGTTTTGACTAACGAACACTATAATTATTTTATAAGCAATGCCAGACATCTTCAGGTCAGATTAATTACCGATATAGCTATCGGGTTCCAGCGTCCATCAGCAACGCGTTGCCCGGAACTTACTCGTCTCTACGTGCAGCGTTCGCGTCACCAAAAAAGGTTTAAAATATCCGGGCTCTGTCTGGACCACGTAAAAACTGGACGTTCCTAAGCACGTGTGAATAATTCGCACATAAAATAATTACAAACAAAGCTACTTAAGTTTGTCTTTAACACAAAGTTTTTGTCTTTGTAAGACAAAACTAGCTTTGTATAAGTAACATAACAGGGGAAGATTCTTGAAAATAAAAACAAATTCAGTCATTTTATCCAATGAAACTGAGAAGTCCGATTAAATTTTGAACTGGCTTGACTTCGCCGACAAAATGTACAGCTTTGATTCACTAGTTGCAAAAAAAACATATTACTCGCGTAATTATTTGGGGCGGGCGGCATTCTGCTGCAGAACATCGCGCCAAAAAACCGGCGCTTGAAACGCAAGGCAAGAGGCGCATCCTGAGGGCGAGGCTCGTCCCTGAACAGCGCGTAGCCTTGGCCGTGGCAATGAAGGATCAAAGGATCGAGGACACGTGGCGGGGGAGTGTGGGGGTGTAGGATATGATGGGGGTGTAGGAGATGACAGGCGTGTAGGAGATGACAGGCGTGTGGGTCAAGTCGGNAGGATATGACAGGCGTGTAGGAGATGACCGGCGTGTAGGAGATGACAGGCGTGTGGGTCAAGTCGGTTATGCAAGAAGAGAAACGACAGTTGTATGTACTGATAACCAATAATGTTGACAACGTTTGAGAACTAATTTTGATTTCTGATCAGCCTACAGCAAAAGAATTTATTACGAAACGTTAAGAACACATATATAATCTCTTTGCTATCTATGACGATATACTTAAACTGGTCGTATATGACCGAGTAGTGAGCATTCCCAAGCACACAGCTGGTGTCGATTTAAAAAATCAGAAGCCGCAAGAATTTCGATGCCCTTCTGCCCGTAAAGGTTAGGACAGCGATTACAACGCGAAAAAAAATGTAAAATTACTTAATTGAAACACTTGCTCGCCCCAGGCCTTGTTTCTGCACGGCAGGCAACTTGCACGTCAATGCTGCGATCCTCTGCTGGCTGTGGGCGCCAAAGTTACCGGTAATTCGGGCAAAGTTCCACTAGTCAGAAAAAGGAGAAAAATTGCATGGAAAATAGTACGTAACTCTCAGTGTATGCATTAATTTGATCCTCAGG